GCGCGTGGCGTGCACGCTTTAAAGGTGATTGTAATCGATTTCTCGCGAGGGGTTTATATATATTTGACTAAAATTACACCTATTCTAGAAAACTCGAAGTTGTCTGCAGTTGTGTATGTTGTTAAGTGAGCCCTTTACAATAAGAGACTCTAAAACTTAGCGTTATACTCTTATTAGTGTTATGGGCGGAGAGGCCTAGCGAACGAGTATGCTTCTACCTATCGTACAGAAGCTAAAAGATAAGAAAAAGAGAAGATAACTAAGTACAGACTTCTCTTATACCTGCTCGCTTCTGATCACGTGTCCGTACAGAAGGTATATCACGTGGTCGAAGATCACGTGATCCTCTTTAGTAGAGATCACGGGCGCAGCCCTTTACAATACTCCCCTCCTCCACTCGTACGGACATGTTTGCGTTTGTTTGTTTTCCTAGGAGCACGCGGCTGCCTAACTTGCGGTGGAGCAGCGGCGTTTGTTTGCTCTAGTGAAGGAGGATTTCCACGAGAGCAAACGCTCCCTCCGTACGATATGTAGAGCTGCCGTCTCTCTCCTTCAGCTTTTTCTTCCTTTGTGTTAAATCAATTTGACTCCACTACTACACAGATTTCTTCTTTTCTTTCTGACCACACTCGTACGATGCCGCCGAAAGCGCAACCACCCCCTCGCGGTGTTTGGGCCAACGTAAACACTAATAGTTTGCAGTTTTGCACTGACGGTGGCTCTAATGATACTATTAACAACGTGGCTAACCAAATCTTCGACGCTGCCCACTAGGCTCTGACTCGTACGACGCTAGGCGCTGTACTGCCAACTTTTAATATGCTAGGCGCTGTCAACCTGAACGAGTATCGTGTCTGGTTTATCTTCGATCAGCGCGTCGTAGATGAGCTGCGCCGTGTTTATGCGGTTGCCCCTGTACGTAATACTTTTCTAACTTCTTGTATGGCTGGTGTTAACTTGCGTAGGAGGACATTCGCCGTGTTTTTGACTACTTCTGTCGCCCTCGCGGCAATAGTCCGTACGATGCTGTCTTCGGTCCGGGCCCTCGCGACTACTCGCCTGTGATCGCACGTACGACTATTACTGCTCGGCAGATTCTCACTGGCCGTCCGTCCTACCTCAAGGCCTTTGTTGTGTATAGCCGCGGCGCTCTTAACGCGGCTTTTTGTACGAACAATTGCGCCGCTGTTCTGCGAGGCGAGAAGGAGTTTACCGCATTCGCTGGCTGCGTGTCCATCGCCGGTGAGTGGGGTGGAGCCTGCTCTAACTGCGTCTGGCAAGACTATGGAGCTCGTTGCAGTGTCACTTAGTAGGCAGTCTCTCGTATGGGAGGTGGGCGTAAGAGGCTCCCTGACGGTCCTAGCAGTGGCAACCAGCGTGGTTGTCCGGCTGCGGGTGGTGCTGAGAACCCCCTGCTCGTGGAGTAGGTGGGCCTGCCTTCGCCAGTTTCTTCTGAGTCGTCCGTTAGGTTGTCGTCTAGGTTGGGTGTGGGACAACTATGACTGTAGGGCCGTAGTGTTAGCGAGATAGGCGGCGGGCTCCTATGTGGGCTCGTCGTAGCCCACCTAATGAACAAGGTATTCTATTTGCCTGCGCCTTATTCTCTCGTCCGTGATGTCTCGTACTGTCCACTCTAAGTGTTTCTTATTATTTTCGTTATCTTGTACGACTGTAGCAGTTGGGTTGGTGTCGTCCGTCTGCTGCGATGGGAATGGGTCGTTAGCCGCCGGACGGAGCTTGTCTACATGGTAAGTCTTTGTTTCCCATAGCACGGCTAATTCCACCTAGTAAGGGTCTCGTACGCGAGCAACCTGGAACTTGGCGCTTTTCTAATTAAGTTTCTTACTACTTCTAGCCGTACGTACATCGCGTAAGTCTAGCCATACCTAGTCTCCTACGCGGTAGGTGGGCGCTGGTCTGCGGGACTTGTTAGCTTGTCGTTCTTGTTCTTGTTGGGCGTAGGTTATGGCAGATATAGCCCAGTTAGCAGTATTACTAATCGTCTGGATAATCTCCTTTGCAGCTTCTCCTACTTCGTCGGCTTGCGTGACCGTTTGGGGCTGAGAGAAAGGAGTGTTATGGTAACTATGGTGCAGGAAGAAAGGTGAAACTCCTATTGTCGTGTTCGTACGGGAGTTGAGTATAAGTTCTAAAAGGGGGCAGAGTTGTGCCTAGTTGTCTTGATTGTAGTTGCAGAAGATCCGTACGACTGCTTCTATATCGCTATTAGCGCGCTCTGTTGTTCCGTCCGTCTGTGGGTGATAGGCTGTTAAGAGATTTCTCTGGATACTAAGTAGCTGGCAGACCTGTTTCCAAAGAGAGCTGGCGAATTGGGGGCCGCGGTCGGACGTGATAGACTGTGGAAGGCTGTGATGCTGGTAGACTTCCCGTACGAAGGCCTAAGCGACGTCTGTTGTCTCGATCTTGTCTATAGGGATTAGCACGATGCCTTTGCCTAGTCTGTCCTTCACTACTATAAGATTGGTTTTCCCTTGAGAGCTAGGTAAACCCGTGATAAAGTCGACTGTTAGATGTTGCCACGTACGACTAGGAACGGGTAATGGTTTCAAGTACCTATGTTTCCCGTCCCTCTAGGGGGTGCTTTTCCGGCATAGCTCGCAATTCCGTACGTAACGGCGTACATTAGTGCTTATGTTTGGCCAATACCATTCTCTTGCGATAATTCTGTATGTTTCCTCTCGTCCAGGGTGTCCTGTTAGCAGAGACAGGTGCGCAGTTTGGATTACTCCTGTCCGAAGTGGTTCACGTTCAGGTACCCATACTCTATTACGCCAGCACAACTTATCTTTAGCGTTAATCGTATAGTCGCCTAAAGAGATAGCAATCTTACGAGAGCTTGGGAGAGATCGTTTTCCTTCCCGTACAGCCGCTCTTATTTCTTGGTATAGAGAATCTTCTTGCACGGCGCTATCCCAATAGGCTCGTACGAGCGTAGGAAAATGTGGTGGTCGCGGCAGTGTAGTCGACACTAGGGGAGAGACGTCTTCTTGAGTGTCGGTAGTGTCTCGTACAGGCATAACCGCAATACTTTCCTGGGTCTGGGCTGGCACTAGCATGATGAATTCTCTTGATGCTGAATGCTCGTCTAGGTCGTCCTTCTGCATATCTTGGTCTCGCCTAGATAAGGCGTCCGCCCGTACGTTCTCCTTGCCAGGGCGGTAGCGGAGTTTCATATTTGGGAAGCGGGCTAGTTCCAAGTTCCATCGTACGTGGCGTTCGGAGAGCTTTTGCTTGTGGGTGAAGTATTCTAGGTTCTTATGGTCCGTAACTACTTCGAATTCTCGTACGCCTCGTAATTCAGCG